AACATTCCATGCTGGACTAAATGCAAATGGTCACATCTACCATGCGTTTGGCAAAGATTCTTATAATCAATTTTGTAATACGATATGCACGATTGGAGCTCTAGATAGATAATCACAATAAAATTTGAACCAAATGTAATCAAGCGGAAGCAGATATGGAAGGCACACCCAGTTTTAATATAATGCGATGACCGCATCTACGCCTACCTTATTATGCAGCATTACTTCAAAAAACAAGCTAAAGGCATTCTTTGGCAACAAGACTATATACACGTGCCTTACTCAGTTATCACAGAAAGATAAAGGCCCATTTAAGGGCAACACCCATACTTCTTGCAACTTTACATTTACAGAGATTCCATTTACGGTAAGGAAAAATTTTAAAAATTTCGAAGTTGTAATCTCTTATACATTTTCCAACAGATGAACTTATTGTTAGATTCCTTATAAAATCAATGCGCATAAATAACAACATGGATGTTGCCATAAGAGCACATGAAACCTCAAAAATAAAGAAAATTCGTGCTAGACAAAAACGGTATTAAAGCTGGAAATACTTGTCGAAAGACCATTGTTGGCTAGCTTTGCCTGGTTCGCAACGAGCTAACAATACATCTCCACCGGATGGAATGTCTTCAACATCCAAGCAAAGTCCACGCTCCTTGTGCCGAATTGGACCGTTCTCAAAATAGATTGAATAAAAATTAATTTGGAAAAAATCAAATTTCCCAAAAACTCTGCTAATAATAGAAGCGTAACGGCGAAAGACTTTCCTTTAATATTAAACAGATCGAAAACGCACTTGTTCATGTTCAAATTCTACTGGATTCTTGTCGTCGCACTCCTGTAGTACTACGCTGTAAACTCCTTGCCGTATTGGTTTTCCAATGTCGACACAGGTAGCTTCTCTTCGAAGTTCATGTTCTTTTGAGATGGAAAACATCTACAAAAAAATGACCTTATTAATTTGGGCAGTAGGACAAGGAAGATTGATATGTGAAATTCTGAAAAACTTAGTTATAAAGCCGTGTAATTTGCAG